CCGGGCCGGGCGCCGGGGCCCCCACTCCCGCCCCCGCCCCGCCTCGCTCCTACCTGGGCGGCTCGCGGCTCGCGGCGGCTGTCACACAAGAAAAGCGGTGCGTGCGCTCCCCTCCAGCTGGCTCCCGCCCTGCATTTTTGAGGTTGAGCTCCACTGATCTCAGACACAACTTCCTCTGCTGGTTACACACGCACACACACACACTTGAACTCTTCAGTGTTCTCTCTCTCTCTCTCTCTCTCACAGTTCCTCAGTCTTGAACGCTTCTCTTTGCGCGCGCACACAATTTCCTGTCTTGAACCCTTTTCAGTGCTCTTTCCCCCGCACACTCAATTTCCTCACTCTTTAACCCTTCTCAGTGCCCACACACACATTTCCTGTCTTGAACCCTTTTCAGTGCTCACGTGCTCTCTCTTATACACACAGTTTCCTCACTCTTGAACTATTCTCTGTGTTCATACACACGCACGCACATACAAATTTCCTGTCTTGAACCCTTCTCAGTGCGCACTCTCTCTCTCTCTGTCTCTTGCTCTCTCTCACAGACACACAGCTTCCTCAGTCTTGAACCCTTCTCAGTGCTTTTGAAACACCCAAACAGGCACATGCCACCACACAGGTAAGCACACTTAAGGCACCTGCTTAGATAAACACAAGCACACACACACAAGTCTACCGCCACGCACGCTGCAAGGACCCCACACTGCAATGCACATGTGTACTGTGATGCAACACAGGCATGGGTGGATCTAGACTTTTGGAAGGGCGGTGGAGATGGGAAGGTGCATCATCATCATCACATATAACCCAACATGTGTTTTTCTCCAGTTCAAAAAAAACTAGAAGCCTTGCTTATAGCTAGGAGCCTAGGGCTGGGTTATTCAGTTTAAGATTGAAGCAAAAACAAATATAACCTAATTGAATGAGTTAAAAAGTCTGCAGGGCTGTGAAATTGGAACTTCATGACCAGGAGCAGGTAACAGACAGCAGAATTGCAGAAGAAAGGCTAGTTTGACTGGTGGGACATCAAGACCATTCAAAAGAAGAGAGGATCATTAACACCCACAGAATGAAGAATTCAGAAGGGGTCAGGTAGACTTTAAGTCAAGCGAGTCCCTCAGCACTGCCTGACTAGAAATGCTCCTGCCACTGGCTGGTTTTAAACTTGAGTGGAGCAGGAATCAAAGGGGGGTGGGGTGGGAAATGCACCACTTATTCCCCCTCCTCCACCCCTGCACACAGGTACACAAACTATCTACCTGCACATGCTATAGGAAAGCAGATACACAGCATACTTGCATATTACTGCACACAAACCTATTATCTATATGCAGTACAGATAAGGAGACGTTGCCACTCACACAGGACAGCGCTGATATGCATACTTCCCATGTGTACCACAGGAAAAGACACCACTATCATATACGTACCCAAATATACTGTCCACTGAAACTGCAGCCAAAGAAACTGCAGCCAAAGTGCTTACACTCACTTGGTTCCATGGGGTTATACAACAGCCTCACAAAAAAGGTGTACACACAAGACTGTGCTATCACATACTGACCCACATGCTGTGTACCCTGGTACAAATATACAGTGGGCATGTGTACATGTGCACCTGACTGCGCAGTTGTTACTGCACAGTACATTTAGTACTTCGCTTTAGCAAATACTAAATGACTGTGCAGTAGCTGCCATTACTGCGCAGTCCTGGTGGTGCATGAGTTGTTTCTGACCCTACTGCACAGTAGCAATGAGCTACTGTGTAGTTGTGTTGGCATCACAATTCATGCCCACTGATGCTACGTTGCCATATTTTATCACTACGGTTACATAGCATCTTGTGTAGATGCACCCAGTGTCTCACACACATGCCTATGAGCACAGATGTGTGCACATGCTATAGGAAGAGATGCACCACTTGGGCAGAGGTACGCAGACCCTAAAACCTGGAAGCAGCTGCCCTGGCTAAGGCACTGTATTAACAGAACAACTTGGGAAAAAAACAACCTAGGGGTGAAGGATTCTAGTAGCTCATGGGGTTGAAAGAGAATGACGTGTGTGTGGTCAGTCTTATCAGCTGGCATGGGGACTTAATGCAAATATTCCAGACTGCCTGGCTGTGCAGTTCAGGCCTCTTTTGCTTTAAACGTAGAGAATCTGAAAATGGATCTGAGTTTGAGCTACCAAGCAGTAACTGTGGCTGTGCAAAGGGAAATGTAACAGCAGCTGCAAACAGTTCTTACCCACCTCCAGCTTTGGGAACTGCTGCTCATTTGAGAGAGAGAGAAAGAGAGAGAGAGAGAGAGAGAGAGAGAGAGGAGGAATGCTGGTTGGAAGACTGAGGTGACTGGGAAAGTAGGAAAAGGTCTCATCTTTCCGTCTGACCTTAGTCAGGACTTTGTTTTTGCAGCTGCAGTATTGTGGATGCAAAGAATCAGAAATGTGATTTTGTCCCATAGAGTAACTCCTCTTGGTTTATTTATTTATTAATTAAGATTTATATTCCATGCTATCCAGGTTTGTGGGTACAATCAATGCTTAGATGTGCAAATGCCATTAATTATTGCTGCAAGTCATTACTGATGCAACACTGTGCCTGATGTTCCTGACAACTAGAACTTATAGGTGCAAATGGTATTTGGGAACCCAGTGTGGGATCCTTAACTTCTACATTCCCATGCGGTTGGGAAGGGCCCTCACTTTGCCTCCACTGACTGTGCAGCACCCCTAATGCTGGCTTGCAGTATCAGCCCAGCACTGCATAAGAATCCATAACTTCTGGTCTTGTGGCTAGAGTTCTACCACTCAAAAACACAGAGCAGCCTCTGAATAACCTTGGGCTGTTTAGTCTGTATGCTTCTGAGAATTCAGCTACACAAGGAGCATCATGTACCCTACAGAGGATACTTGCCTACTTGGTGGGTTATGGAGCACTCCATTTTCATCTTCATCACGGTCACCATATACCTAATCCAGTAAACTTACAGGCCCTGCTACATGTTCAAATTAAAGCACTAACTTTATAGCTGGTTGGCTTTTTTTATAGCTGAATAGTCATTTTTATCCTGTGATAATTATTTTTCACATGTGGCTGGTCTAAAATTATTGCGTGATTAATCAGTTAATTTCATAATGTATGTAACCTGTAGCAGAGGCAGAGACACCAACGACTTGTCTCTTATTGCCACCGGGAATGCAGACTTTTTATTTTAGTTAAGAATCCATATAAACATGTCTTTCAAAGTAGTTAGCAGGTACTCATATTATAAGCAGAGTGGATATTACTTGTGTCTCTACTGATTGGAAAGCTATGCAGTTATCAGGAACTCTGTAAGTGCAGGTTAATAGCTGTCACAGGGTTCTGCCTTTATACTGAGAACATCAGGGGTGCTGTAATAGAAATGTCTTGTAGTGCCATTTAGCCCAGAGTTTGATCTCCAACAGCTGCTGTTTGTAGATGTTCCCCACACCTAAATAACGCACTCCCCCTCCCCCTGTACTGCAGTCCTGTGCCAAGGCAAATGTTTCTTCCTGATCCCTACTGGGCTACTGGGCTGCTGGCCTGGCTTCTGCTCATGAGTGATTGATAGAGGCTGTGACTTTTATCCCAGTGAGTTCCACTGCAGATTGTCAGATGGCTTTTAGATTTATAACAACAAGCAAAAAGCAACATTTCCAAACCGGAATCTTCTGACCAAAACCCCATCCCCCACTACAACCCCATCAGTCATACCCAGAGGTCAGCCCTGATTCTTCCTCCCTCTCCCAAATGTGGGCTCTGCAGCATGGTCCACTACTCAGGTTTGGGTCATCTGAAATGAAGGATCATGGTGGGGGTATTCCAAGGCACAGACAATGCCTATTCTCTCTACTCAGAGTGCTCTAGCCCAGGAATTGCTCCTGGCAGAGTGGTTTTTTAAACTGCCTAAGCTATTTGTTTCAATAATATCCTCTGATGCTGGGCCTTCCCCTCTGCTCACATGTACAGACTGTGCTTTTCAGCCACATTGCAAAATGTTTTAAGCCCCAGGGCTGTCCTGAACAGTACTACAGCATGGTATGGTAATAGCCATCCCATGATTTAGCAGATAACAAGTAACCTCTGTTACAGTTTGCTTGCTTGTGTCCAGCCCTTATCATGTATGCCAGAAATAAGAAAGTGAAATCTGAAAACTGACTGACCCTCTAAAAGAAATGTATTTGCTGAACTGGAAAATACTGGTCATAGTGCAGGAATCTGCATGAATTGCTATGAGCTTTGTGATGCAAACATTCAGACCAGATGAGCATTATTGTTTGGCGTTTGTGTAGCACCTAGGACAATGGGTTCCTGGTCCACACTGGGTTTTTTTCTGGTGATACCACAGTACAAATGTTCAATAATGATAAGAACTGGGCAGAAAAAGGTCATAGTGTCTCATGGATGATTTCAATATTTCAGAACTTTCGATTTCTTTCTATTTGGAGTGAAAACTAAAGATTGTGACACTTGACAAAAATGATCATCTCTCTGTCTTGTTGCTCAGGAGGCACAGAGGCTGAATGCCACAAGGGGCCTGGTCCCTGGTCCCTACTGGGTCCATTGGAACGATCTGTCAGAATTAATGGTCTGAGCAAAACATTTAAACTCTGATGAAGTTCTAAGTTTCTAAATCAGCAATTTGTGTATATATACAAAGAGCTTATTTGGGATTTTTCTAACTGGCTTTTCTGGTTTTCAAATCTAAGAAGTCTCCTTTTGCTTTCATTCTGAGCAAAGGAGCCCGTTTTTTACATTTATGAGAATTGAATGAAGCCAGCATGGCTTCATTGCAGGCAGGTCTTGTCTTATCAACCTCATCTCCTTCTGTGTATATCTAGACTTCCAAAAGGCCTTTGATTTGGTATCCCACAATGTTCTCATGGGAAACTTGGATGATTGCGGGCTTAACTCAGGGACAGTCAGGTGGGTAAGAAGCTGGGTGTGAGGTAGGACCCAGAGAGTTCTTGTGAACAAAAGTGGCCAGTCATGTCCCTCAGAGATCTGTGCTTGATTCAGTGCTTTTCAACATCTTTATCAATGATTTGGATGTGGGGGTGAAAAGCTCAGTGGCCAATTTTGCAGACAACACCCAGTTATGGGGGAGTGTGGTCACGCTTGAATGTAGACTGTAGATACAGGCAGGCCTAGACAGGCTGGCAAGTCGGGTGGATCAGAACCAGATGAAGTTCAACACTGAGAAGTGTAAAGTGCTCCATCTGGGGATGAACAATCCCCAATGTACTTACAGGCTTGATGGTGCCAAACTGACTAGCACCATGACTGAAAGGGACCTAGGGGTAATAATAGACCATAGTATGAAAA